GATTAATTTGTATAAGATTCGTTTTCTTTTCAATAGAGATAACATATCCCATTTTTATGCATCACAGAGATGAAAGTTTCATTTCATGAGATTACATCAAATATCCAAATCTGTTGCAAACCCGTTCCTGGTGTTTCCCGAGCGAACCAACTACTGTATATTTATATCGTCTGGGCGATTGAAAATCAGGGCTTAGAAAACAAAATGAGTGGGTTCACGTCGGGTAACGGTAGTCACGTAATAAACCATCCAATGCTTCTAACTGTTGGTTGATATACAATTAAGCTAGTGACGGATCATTTCTTTTAATCACAGTCCTTTGAATTTTCATACGGGCAAAACCAAATTGATCACACGGTCAGATTTAAATTACAATTTTTTTATGAATAAGTTACAAAGCTGATGATTATTGAATCCCATAGGAACTGTACACAATGGATTCACTTGGTAGTACAATTTAACAGCAAATTATAATGTTCACTCACTGGTGTTGAAAAGTTAGGTGTAGTTCAACGCTTCATCGAGCATCGATTTGAATCAATCGGTGGGTGGAGCACAAATAACTTGAGGTAGGAAAGAGTTCCACGTAGTACAAACTCTGAGGCTGAAAGAGTGACGTATTTAATCTAGCCGACTCTTTTGGAGCAAACGTTTAAACAGATATCCCCTGAGGTGACCATTCCTGGATAGTGTTAGTACTGCACTACACGGGTGGTTAGATTGATGTAGTTTTTGATATAAGGAGATCATGTCTCCCCTAATTCGACAGTATTCAGGCGAATAAAGTGAGAGAATATGCAGCCTTTCAGCGTAGGTTTTAGATTGTAACCCTTTGACCATTTTGGTTGCTGTTCTCTGCGGACGTTCCAGTGATTTCTAGTCAAGAATAAGCCCTGGATTCCAAGCTTTTATGCCATACACGGTGTGTCGTCTAATGTACGCTGATAGTAAACGAGGCAATAGGTCTGCTTCGAATGATGCAAAAACACGTTTTAGCAATCCAGCGTGCTTTATGGCCTTTGATGACGTTCTTGCGCAATGTTTGGAACATCCTCGATCATCGCGAGCAATAACTCTCAGATCCTTTTTCCTGTTTGGAGAAACCGGTAATGGCTGAGTTCCAAGTAAGTATGGAAAGCCACCCCTGTGATGCATCGAAACATACCTGCATCTAACAACGTTGAATTCGATGTGATTTGTGATAGACCATGGGTAAACTGCGTTGAGAGTTTCCTGCCGGGTTTCATAATTTTCAGGATATGGTACCACCCTCTATGTTCTGGCCTCGGCAGCGAATAATGTGTCAGAGTGTTTGGCCTCGGCCAGCTGAGTAACAGTCATGATTTCTGTTATCTTTACTAGTCTGTTGACAAACTGCTTTTTCGTGGTGCTCTAGTGGCTCCATTTACCTATTCAGATTGCTCCAAAAGAAAGTTGTATAAAAATTAGGTTTCATCCATCAGTATTAAAAGAGAGATTCAGGTCACATCGGAATTCGTTTTGTATATATATGTAAACTTCACCCACGTCTGAGGTCAGACTGTGCTCAAACAATGCATGGCACAATAATCTTTATAAAAAGAAAAACGTTCCATGATTTGCATGTGAGCCGAATACTGCCAGGTCGCTCAGACCAAGGCAGGTGAATTTTATTGGGGTATTTACAATCGGAGCCTTCGGCTGATCCACTAGGTAGCGTGGCAGTGTGTGAAAACTGCAGTCCATTGGGGCCGGTATCCAGTTCATCGGATCATACTGCTTTTGGAAGGAGTCAAACGTCCAAGGTGCCCAATATACCTCGATGCCCAGTCAAGCCGGTTACCATTGTCACGCCTGTTCTTGGTTGGTTTGGAACCAATGTTTTGGCCAACCCCCCCCCCCCCCCCCCCCCCGCCCCCCAGGTGAACTATCAGTGGTCCACCAGCCTGGTTATATCCCCGGATGTCGGCTTTTTGTCCTCTCGCTCTGGTTCGAAAACACCTCCGCCACGAGAAGCAGTGAGAAAGGCTTCCTCAGCAGAGGCTATTCGAGACGCGTGGTTGCATGGGAGCATTTCACGAGGTGCAAGGGAAGAGTGACTACCCCAAACCCTAAACATCCACCTTCGACTATATTAAGGATTTCGGAGGCAAACTAGCGGCATACTAAGTCACTATGCACTGTTTTTAATGTCTACATCAATGCTTTCTGCAAAGTCAGTAGTTGAAGTTGGATGATATTCTGAAATTTTCATAAGTAAATCAAATGCTAAAATCTGAGGAATCCCGTGTCAAACCTAGGCATAAGTCGTTTGAGTCTTTTTTAAATAAGCGTGAGAAGATAACCGTAGAACAATAAAGGGACCTGAAGAAAACAATGGGAGAAATAATTGATCGGAAAGTGTGAAGCGGTATGAGCTCCGCGGTTTGAATTGATAGTCACCAACGCAGTGGTAAAAGTGTGCTGACCACCGAAGATAACTGTGTTTAGTGACTTAATGACATTTAGCGGGGTTCACTTTAAATGAAGATTTGTCATTTTTTACTCTGAACTCTGTAGAAAAGAATGTGTGACGATTTAAAATTTGACTCGATTAGGAGGGGGAAAGTTGAATTCTGAAAAGGTAATCGGCGAAGGACTTCAGGCTGTAGAAAGAATAAATGGTTTCGCACAACACATCATCAGAATATTCACAAACACATGGGACAGAGACAATAGATATATCGCAAATTTGTGTGAAAAATAAGTTTGGGGACAGCACGGCTGCTGTTGATTGAGGGTTTAGGTGAAGCCTTTCCAAATCTTTTAATATGTCATGAGATCTGGATGACTTTGAAATCAGCATGTCTTTGACCAACTTCCAACAGCTTGAAATAGCGGACGCTCCAAATGAATGATTGAAACTAGCTATAGAAGCAGCTCCGAAGGTTGACTAACAGTGGAAGAACGACGCTTACTTAAAAGATTTTCTGTATTCGAATTGGAACATGTTTTGGTATTGCACATGTTGTACAACTAGTCCGCAGGATGAGTGTCTGACGATTGGTGAACAACTACCCCAGGAAGAACGTGTCAACACCAACTGTAACTGCTTTTCTTCTTTCCATAGAAAAGGCTGGTGATCTTCGATCCGTGCTTGCTGGTATGGGATCATATCATTCGATCAGAGATTAGTACATTCCGTTGCTTTTCTTCAGTATTATGTTATGCTCAATTTCACTTTCTTCATCGAATCAGCGTTCGAATGTGTTTTCCGCATTGTCAATGAATTTCAACCTGTGGTATGATAAGCTCTCATAGATTTCATCAAACAAAAATATAATTCAAAAGGAAATATATTCAGGTTGATTCTTTGATAAAGCCCTCCTGTGTGTCATCTTTGGATTTTTGCCAAGTCCATGATAGGCTGTTCATCAAATGCTTATTACAATGCTCGGATGCGTTATGTGGATGCCACCTCATTGATGCTACCAGCAGTACGAATCCAGCAATTCCGTGAAGATCTAAGCAAGTTTATGCCATTTATACTTGAGCAGGAAAACGATAAAACTCCTTTTCTTGGACGTCCTCGTCATAGGAAGACCAGACGGAAATACAGAAACCACTGTTTACAGGAAACTGACAAAAGCCGATCAGGTGCCGTACTACGATAGCAATCATCTCACGTGTCACCTAAGAAACTGCGTGTACTTTTTATTCCACCGTGTGGACACACATTGTAGCACAGAAGAAGTCCTGTATCTAGGAAGAATGCATTTGTTCCATCAGTTCCGCAAAAATGGATACCCTAAACGTTTCGTCCCATCATGTCTTAGGAGAAGAAGAAAATCGAAGGATGGAGAGAAGAGAATGAACCTCTTACTACAGATATCAGAGGCGTTCGATCGCACCCTTCGCCCTTTGGGTGCTGCCATTGCCTACAGAGCAAAAACAACACTGCGGTCAATTTTGTTCATTGTGAAGCACCATTTAGAACTATACGACCAATCAGGGCCGGTGTGCTCAATTCCGTGCCTAGACTGTGACCGACTTTACGTGGGAGAGAGGCAAACAATTTGCCCACAAGAGCACATACTTGAACAACGACGCGCTGACCCGAAGTCACACCTCTGGGACTACGGTGCAACGACACGAGGTCACGAGCTCAGAATCAACGACGCCAAAGTAGTGGCAAGGACAAAGAGGCAGGGGAAAGTTTGATTCTTGAAGCGCTGCTTTCGACCAACTCATTCAATCGACATGTCCAAGTCATTAAACATCAGGCAACGATTGCACAACCAATGAGGAACGCGGGATTGATGGAGAAACAGAAGTAATATGTGTATTAAGAAGAAGAAGGCGAGCTCTAAGTGATAGTATTTATTGTGACGTTTCAATCCATACTAGGACTCGTTATCAAACGATAGTATGTGTGAATGAATTGGGTCTGCTTGTGCCTCACGCCGTGGTTTGCAGCTCCATGATGTCATTCACTAACAGTGGTGTTCTTTCTGGAAGACGAGAATCATTTTTTTCAGAATCGATATGCTCCCCAAAGCTAGCTGCGTCGGTGTTTGTAAACAGATAGGTGACATCCAATGACAGTTTTTTCTTCCAGTTTCAGCTTTAATTCTCGCATTCGAGAAAAATTTATCAAAAGGACTAGGTCTACCGATCAATTTAAGCATATAATCATGCTTTATGTAAATTCCACACAACCAGTTCCCAACTTTGAGCTGCTCCACCCTCTTTTCTCCTTTGACCAGTTCTATTTCTGCATGCTTCTGTTTTGGCTACAATATAAGCCCAAGCTAGTTATGAAATTGATTCGTGAAGTTAACTTTCAGTATATTAGTAGACAAGATCGGTCAGTTTCCATCTACGATTATTGTTTCAAACAATATCACGTCATTCCAGATTTTGAGTGTTCGAGTGAAACAGCTTTACAGTGCTCCTTGTCGATCAGCATCTCAAAGATTCGTAATAATCACGTTTCAGCTGATAAAATGATTTTTCTTTTCGTCCTGACAGGAGATGAGGTAATGATCCTAATCAAACAACTCAATGGGATCAACCGTCTTCGTTTGACTTTTGTCAACAACTCGGAGGCCGCTGCGTTTTACGCTGAACTGTCTCGATTTGCTCAAGTCCGGAAAGCTATGTCTGAGTCAACCTTGCCAGAGAGCAACGTGGAAGAGCATCTGGAGCGGACTTTGGACTCCATCGGGAAAGGGATGCCACAGACAACGTCATGGACCACTGAATGGCCCACCAAAAGTCTTGAAGGCTTGGTTCGATTATGCTTGATCGATCCCAATTTCCCCGGCTATGTGAAACAGGTACATAACGCTATGAAGAAACTTACACTACTTGACAAAACCTCGCTTGTCTACAATAAAAACACCTAATAATGGACACTATTCTGAATGTTACGTTTGAGTTGTTCTCTGAATATAAAATGTAAAAACTGATTAATTACTTCTCATGTTGCTTTGTTCGCCTAGAGTCGAATTAGCGGTTGACAGACTGGTATGTGCCACGGTCACGTGACGCTCTGCTGACAGTGGCCATATGCTCACAACACTCTCAATGACCTTGAAAGAACATAAACATTCAAGTGGACCACTACTGATCATGGTCAACCATGAAGCGGGGTAAGAGGTTAGATGATAACGAGAAATCCAGAAATGATGCCTTTCATGAGGTCACTGTCAACACGCAAAAGATATCCATTAAGTTCACTCAACTCCACTGATTTTATCAAATACCTGACTGCTTTTACTTTGTTAGATGAAGCTGTGATTTCAGAATGCAAGGATCAATTACTCCACACGTTGCCCTGGTTGCCCACAGCTAAATCAGTCGTTTTGCATCCCAGAACCTGAGTGGGTGTGTGCCGGTAGGCGATAAAAGTTATTGTTCATTGAGCAGCAGCTCCTTTCACGGTCTTATCCGCCACAATCGAACGCGTTTCACTGCCTTGAAAAATCGGCCCTGCGACAATTCACCAAGCCTCATTTCGCATGATAAATTACACCTAAACTATTCAGTGTTCTGCGATCCTGACAAATTGATCTGTAACTACATACCCCAAGGCCCTATCCTCATGCTAGGATAACGGTATCGATTTACTCCCAGGTGGCAGGCTGTCTGATCTATAGTATGCAGACGAGATTGTGCTACTTAGTCAAGATCCAGGTAAGTTGCAAGGTTTTCTGGATCGCTTGAGTGCTAGTGTAGCCATATTCGGTATACGTTTTACACCGTCAAAGAGTAAAATGTTCATCCAAGATTGAGTTGGTCCCGCACCCAGACTCACTCTAACTGATGAAGTAATAGAGCGAGTGGATAAGTTTTGTTATTTGAGTAGTAACGTCTCACCCGGTGGACGCATCACGGATGAAGTGTCTGCTCGTATACAGAAGGCTCGGTTGACATTTGCTAACTTGAGACCTCTGTAGCACCGTCGCGACATCCGGTTGTCTGTGAAGGGTCGAGTGTATGCCGCGGCA